TCTTTATAGACCACCCCATGTTTCACGAAAAAGTCTTCATAATTGTCATTTTCGAGAACTTTAATAACCGCTTTCACCCAAGGATCCATTAACTGTGCCTGACGCAGTCTGTGCTGTAGCGAATCCTCTAGCATCAAACAACAAACTCGACTTAAGGCGTCTACATGCCTCATCCTACTTCCGCTTCTGTGTTCTATCTGGTAGTTAAAATCTTGTAAAAATAAGGCCCAACGGGAAACTCTTAGTGGAATGTCCCTTTTCTTCATCGTCATAGCGAAAGCGTTACAATCTGTCACTATCTTGAAACTTATGCCTAACAAATACACCCTCCACTTCTTCAACGCGGCTACAATAGCAAGTACCTCCAACTCATATGAATGGTACTTTTCTTCAGCTGGCGTCGTCTTCCGGCTCATATACTGTACCGGGTGGAAAAGCTGATCGTCAGAGTCCTTTTGAAGAAGAACACCTCCGTATCCGTGCAGGGATGCATCCGTATGAACCTCTGTCAATGCTTTTGGGTTGTACAGTCGCAGAACCGGAGCTTTCGCTAGTGCTTCTTTTAGTTGCTGAAAAGCTGCTAACTGGTCTGCCTCAAGTAAAAACTGAGCGTCTTTTCGTAAAAGGTCCGAAAGAGGTTTTGCGATAGTTGCATAACCCTCAATGAAACGTCTAAAATAAGATGTCAACCCAAGGAAGCGCTGTACTGCCTTTCTATCTCGCGGGATAGGGAAATTCTCCACCGCCCTTGTTTTTGCTTCGGATGGTTTTATAGCTCCATTTTCTATAATATAACCCAAAAAGTCCACTTTCCTATTCAGAAATTGACATTTACTCCATTTTATTCGCAAGTTATACTCGACTGCTCGACTTAACACACGCTCTAATTTCTGAATGGCCTCACCTACATCCTTAGCGGGAATAATGAGATCATCCATGTAAGCAACAACCGTCCCATCTTCCACCATATCCCTCAAAACCGTAGCAATGTACTTCGAAAATACAGCAGGCGAGTTTGATATCCCAAAGGGTACATATCGAAACTCGTACTGCCCGTTATGTGTAACGAACGCGGTATACTTCCTGGATTTTGCTTCGACAGGTACATGAAAGAACCCGTTTGCCAAATCCAAGGTCGTAAATAATTTAGCCCCCTGTAGCCTCTCAATGACGTCGTCTAACAACGGCATCGGAAAGTTATCCCTCATAATCTTGCTGTTTATACGCCTGTAGTCACAGCAAAGCCTTTTTGATCCATCCTTTTTGGCAACAAGTACAATGGGCGAAGCGTACTCCGATGTACTGGGTTGAATAATACCCTCTTGTAGCCACTCCGCTATCTGTTCTTCTACCACTTTCTTGTCAGCGTATGAAATGCGTCTAGGGCCTTCGTGAACGGGATAATCATCAGTCAACACGATCTTCATTTCAACAGGTGATTTCTGGTTTCTTACGGGTGCATAATTTTTAATCAACACCTCTACTGCACTTGCTTCTAACGGTTGAAGGTGGCATAAGTCAATATCTGGTTCCCTAGTTTCTTCAACAACGGCAACTTGGCATAGCTCTTTAAACTCTGCCTCAACCTCTGTACATCTCCCCTCGGCTTCGTCCGAAACTAAGCAACTTCCCGCCACGACTGCATTCGAACCCTTTTTCCCTGTCTGACTTGCCTCAGCCTTGTCAACTTTCTCCTTAAACTCTACCGAACCCTCTGATACAACCAAGTCAACCAATTTCAACACACTGACACCAATCACTGCTGAATACCGCATGTCACATTCTCTGGTCACGTGGAAAATGACTTCAAGTTCCATACCGTCGACCACCACCATAGTTTTGAAGCTACCTAGCGTCGTTAGTCTGGCATTTCCTACGCCTACAAGGCTTATTTGGTCGTTGTTTAATTCGATGTCGTCATTTAACAACAACAAAACATCGCGACGAATTAAGCAAAGGTCACATCCGGTATCTATTAAAGTGGAAAATGTCGCTCCCCCAACGGCTAGATCCTTAAAAATGCATCCTCCTGTTCCAAATTCCTGTTTTCCCTGGTTCCTCAACGTATTTACATTACTTTTTTCCTTCTTAACCTCAACTTGCTGTCGCTGACAATCTACGGCACGATGCCCTGGCTGACCGCATTTGAAACATTTAATTTGTTTTTGACTGCAATCTTTTGCGATGTGCGAAATATCTCCGAACTTGAAACAACGTTTTGTTTGATCTTTATTGTTACCCAAACCAGTAGACGCCTTATTTCCTTCACCCGAACGAACTGAACCTGAGCTGTTTACTTCTTGCCGACCATCCCGCACTTTTTCATATATGCTAAGCTGGATCTTAAGTTCTTTAACAGTTTTGGCCTGATATAAGTTACTCTTGTTGGCATTAGAATCAGGAATACCTTCGATAAAATATGTTACTAAACTCAACTCATCTAATTCAATCGGTTTGCTAATCTCCATTAGATTGTAAAGGTATTCGCGGTAACTCTCGTTTTGACGCTTTCGACGGTTCCTAAGCATGCGATGCACTTCCATGGATGACACCACAATACCAAACTCTGATTTTAGTGCCTGCTTTAATGAACTCCAATCTGTAACACCACGTTGGCTTCGCACAAACATTTTGGCTGCCCCCCTCAACAACTGTTTAGCATAAATAAATTTCCGTAAATTATTCCAGTGAAATGCGGTAGCGTTTTCTTCAAACTCTTCTAACCAGTCCTCTATCGACGGTGAGCCGGAGCCATTAAACATTGACAGCGAATCTACTATGTCGCGCAGGGTGAACGTAGCACGCTCATGTGTCGGAGTATGGATCACACCTGAAGCAACATCATCATACTCAGAAACATCATCATTTTCTTCACCGTCAACAGTCAGGCCGAAATGCTCGAGCAGTATTGCAATATTGACTTACGTCCTGTAGTCACTAACCCTAATTCAGTTAGTTTTTGTCTCAAATCGCGCAAATTCAAATCTAAAATTTCGCGTCGTTCCATGGCCTCTAGTCGTTCTTAGAGATAACAGAAAAAAAAATTTAATTTTACAGTGTTATAAAATACAAAACTGAGTACGTTTTTCTAAAATTTTACACTTAAAATCCTTCAAAAATTGGTGTGCTTTTGTTTTCTCTTAAAACTACCAATGATACCAAATGTTACTTTAATCTCCAATTGCTTGGATGTTTGAATTATTTAATCTTTCTTCTTAACGACTTCAATGAACTAACTTTTTTCCAGAGTTTACTTTAAGCTAATTTCAGCACATATGAAACAGTAATTTCCTTTACCTGAACAATTTCAAACCAACTTTACTCATTACTTTTATTTCTATTGTACCAACTTGAAGATTAATGACAATTTTAAATT